CCTATGATAGAGATCCCAGATAAAATATGGGATGCTTTGGGATATACTTATACTAAAAAGTTATTCATTACCTAAAATTTGAATTTAACTACGTGTTCCATTTTTTGTCTTGCAAAGTCTGGCACTCCTAGCCTATGGGCCACCATTTTTGCAACTTATATCCTAAAAGGACCCAAGGTATCAATTTCCATCACTTACTAGGGCAGAGAACATGCACACACACTCTCTTTCTCTCTCACTCGCAGAAACACACAAACACGTGCCCTCTCCAGTGGCCTGTCTTGCGTCTAGACTTTGGTGTTTTTCAAACATTTCCCAGGTGATTCTGCCATTCTCCCTGAATTTAGAATCACCGAGATGCCGAGAGCAATCTTCAGCAAACTGAGGGAAAGGGGGCAACAAGAACGTACCTCCAGGTCCGATTCAGAGGGCTTCTTTTCTTTACTTTCCATTTCCATCTCCTGCTGTAACATGACATCGAGCTGCTGTTCTGGACTCATTGGTCTGCTTCCTGGGAACGTCAAAGATGGCTTTCCCTCCTTCTTCATGGGTGAGAAGATTGACGTCTTAAAGGCCAAATTGATCCTGAAAAGTAGACACAGCTCAGCCCTTGGTGTTTGGTTCTCCGGAGAGGTGCTGTGGTGTCGCCTACATTCCCTAGCCTGATAAGTGTGGTTCTGCAACAGAAGCCCCTCTCCTCTGTGTCATCTAATGTCATGTGTGTACACCTCAAAGATGACCGTAACGACTGAACACCTCATAGGTATTTCAGCATGGTTTTGTTCAGTTGGTTTATTTTGTTTACAATCTCAAAAAGCCTGGCCAACATGGTGAAACCACGTCTCTACTAAAAATATAAAAATTAGCCAGGCCTGGTGGCACGCACCTGAAATCCCAGCTACTCGGGAGGCTGAGGCAGGTGCATCGCTTGAACCTGGGAGGTGGAGGCTGCAGCAAGCTGAGATCATGCCACTGCACTCCAGCCTGAACAACAGAGCAAGACTCTGTCTCAAAAAAAAATTTTTTTTTGGATTAAGGTGATTGGTGGACAAAATGTGATTATCTGGGAATGCTTTGAAGCCAAGAAACAGAGTGTGGCTTCAGTGAGACCACATCCTTCTTCCGTTCAGCCCACTGTCCTGCCATCTCTGGTGCCCACAGTGACATCTTACCTAGTGGAATTCTCTTTGTTTCTGGAGGAAAACTTCGTTTTCTTCCTCATGGGCTCTGATGAGCTTTTATTTGCTGGAAGAATGGAGAAGAAAGACATCAATGATGGGCAATGGCGTTGGGCCGTTCTCCGTCCACAGGGGCATGACTCTTGAAACAGTCCAGGAACACACTAAGGGGAGTGGACATGGTATGGTACAACGAGGCAGGAGATGTGGGCTGAGGTCCCATGTGCATCACTGATTACCTGTGTGACCCTGAAGAACTGGCTTTGTCACTCCGGACCTCAGCTTCCTCAATTGTAGAGTGGGGATGTGCATATCTTCCATTCATCCATACATTTGGCAAGAATTAACAACTGCTCGTTTCATGTATTCTCCAATATTGTATACTCTATTTTCTAAACACCTGTTATATTACTGTTTAATATTTATCTTTAAGTAGACTTGGGCATTTAAACTTAGTACATTTGGACAGCCACGCGGTGGTTCACGCTGTTAACTCCCAGGTCCTCTCTGCGCCTCCGCGTGAGGGGGGACCGGATGTGTCGACCTGAGTGAGGAGTTCAAGCCAGCCTGGCCACATGGGGGCGAAACCTATCTCTTGAAAAAATATAATAAATAGCCAGGGCTCGGGCAGACCCCTGTCGTGTGTGTGTGTGTGGGGCGGCTACTTGGAGGCTGAGCAGGGGAGAATTGGGCTTGAACCAGGAGGTGGAGGTTGCCGTGACCATGTTGTGCCATGCACTCCAAGCGCTGGGTGATAGACTGAGAGCTCAGTCGTGCCGAAGGAAACCGGTCAATAAAATTTGTAAAAATTAAAATAGGCTAGGCACGGTGGTCAATGCCTCTGGCAATCCAGCACCTATGTTTGGGAGGCGGAGCAGGCAGGATCCGAGGTCAGGAGTCGGATGAAGCCTGACCAGACATGCAAACCCCCCCATTTCTACTAAGAAATACCGAAATTAGTCCGGGTGTGGTGGCGGTGCCTGTGAATCCCAGCCCTGATCAAGAAGGCTGCAGGCAGGAGAATCGCTTTACCTAAGTGGACAGAGGTGCAGTGAGCCACGCACCATTGTATGCCGCCTGGGCAATGGCGAGTGAACCTCCATCTCAAAAAGACATTTTATAAACTAAGGTAAATAATAATAAAACTCAACTATCTTTATTGTTGAGAAATTTTACGCATTATCAGAATAAGAATACAATAGTATATATTTATTGAAGTGGAAAAAGCAATTCATTTGCAATAATGAGGTAGCTCAATTAATTCAAAAATGATATAAACTTATTTATTAAACTTTTGTATGATATTACGCTTGCTTAAAGATGTCTATCTGTTGAGCTTTCAAAAGTCTAAATGTAACGATAATACAAAAAATCCTTTTTTTTTTTTTCTTTTGAGACAGGGTCTCACTCTGTTGCTTGTCCTGGAGTGCAGTGGCATGATTTCAGCTCACTGCAACCTCAACCACCCAGGCTCAGGTGATCCTCCCACCTCAGCCTCCTGAGTAGCTAGGAGTAATGGCGCATGCCACCACATCCGGCTAATTTTCCTATCTTTTGTAGAGACAGGGTTTTGTCATGTTGCCCAGGTTGGTCTCCAACTCCTGGGCACAAGCGATCCTCTCAATAAACTCAACAATCGAGGTATAGATTCACAAAATGGAAATAATACAGCAATAACAATATTATGCCAAAGTAAATTTTTAAGATCCTCCAAGTACGAATGTATTTTAATGAATAATAAGCAGAAATCAACTCAAGCAAGGACATGAATAACAGACACCAGTGCTGCTCTGAAGAAAGCATCTTAGTACTTTATAATCAAAGACTCTAGCTGGCCTGAGAATTTTTGGGACAATGAAACCTGGGAGGCATTAGTACCAGTTCTTCACAGATATTAATAATTTTGGACTAAGAAAATCATTAAAGACTGCTACAGACTGAATGCTAATGTCTTGTGAAATTTTGTATATTGAAACTTAATCCCCAGCATGATAGTATTTGGAGGTGGGTGTTGGGAGCAAGCCCCCCAAAATCCGGCCATAAACTGGCCCCAAGACTGGCCATAAACAAAATTGCTGCAGCACTGTAACATGTTCATAATGGCTGTAAGGCCCCCACTGGAAGGTTGTGGGTTTACTGGAATGAGGGCAAGGAACACCTGGCCTGCCCAGGGAGGAAAACCGCTTAAAGGCATTCTTAAGCGACAAACAACGGCATGAGCGATCTGTGCCTTAAGGACATGCTCCTGCTGCAGTTAACTAGCCCAACCTATTCCTTTAAGTTGGCCCATCCCTTCGTTTCCCATAAGGGATACTTTTAGTTAATTTAATATCTATAGAAACAATGCTAATGACTAGTTTGCTCTCAATAAATATGTGGGTAAATCTCTGTCTGGGGCTGTCAGCTCTGAAGGCTGGGAGACCCCTGATTTCCCACTTCACACCTCTATATTTCTGTGTGTGTGTCTTTAATTCCTCTAGTGCCGCGGGGTTAGGGTCTCCCTGACCGATCTGGTCTCGGCAGGTGGGACCCTTGGGAGATGATTAGGTCATGAGGGCTCCATCTTATGAATGAGATTGTGCCTTTATAAAAGAAACACCAAAAAGATCCCTCACCCCTTCTCCCATGTGAGCACACAGCAAGAAGATAGAGAAGATAGATGTCTATGAATCAGGAAGAGGATCCTCACCATACTCTGAATCTGTCGGTACCTTGATCTTGGACTTTACAGTCTCCAGAACCATAACATATTTATTTCTGTTGTTTATAAGCCACTAGGTTTATAATACTTTGCTATAGCAGCCCAAAACGAACTAAGACGATGACCATGAAATTAGCAATTAGAGCAGCAAACTTAAGGTTCTGTGTATCATGATCTTGAACACTTGGGTATTAATTATTTGCCACATGTCCTTAAAGCAGGAACATGCAAAAGCAGCATCCTAGAGACTGTGGGTGTACATGTAATACACAAATAACACTGGTAAGAACCACTTGGAAAAAAAATCATCCAAGTGATATTGAAAGGGTTATGACAGTAAGAATGGAATCAGAATTTGGAGAAGGGAGGTAGAAAACCATAAGTAATTAGAAAATTTGAAATGGAAAGATAGTCATTTAAACAAAAAACACTCATTAGACACGAAAAACTCAAGACTGAATAGAGTTGAAGAGAAAATTAATAAATTGGAAGATGTAATTGAGAAACTTAACCAGACACAGCACAGAGAAAAAAATGAAAAATATAAAAATGAGTTTGAGACAGAGAGCAGATCAAGAGTGCCAACATACATCCAACAAAAATTACTAAAGGATACCCTTATGTCGATATACCTATGCTTGGTGGGAATTAAATTAACACACACAAGGTACTGTGGTAAGCAGCTTCCAAGATAGCCCCCAACGATCCCCATCTCCTGGTAACACCCCTTTGTAGTGTAATCCTCTCCCCTTGAGTATGGGCTAGAACTAGTGACTCCTAACAAACAGAATGTGGCAAAAGTGATAGGATGTCACTTCCAAGATTAAGTTCCAAAAAAAGCCTATGGGTTCTCTCTTGCTGTCTCTCTCTTTCTCTCTCCCTCCCTTGCTCTAAGGGAAGCCAGAAGCCATGTTGTGAGTTGTTCTAAGGGAGAGACCCATGTGGCAAGAAACTGGTGTCTATGGCTAACAGTCAGCAAGGACCTGATGACATGAGTGAGTTTGGAAGAGGATCCTTCCCTAGTTGACTTTAGATGATGGTGGCCTTGGTGTATGCTTTGATTGCTAGTGAGGGGCCCTGAGTCAACACTACAAATTCAGCCATGCCCACATTCTTGCCTCCACTGAAATTGTAAGATAATAAATACTGGTCCTTTTAAGCCACAGAGTTTTGGAATAACTTATCATGCAGCAAACAGTAACACAAGTACATAGAACAGTGCCTGGTATATGTAAACTGTCTATAAATGTTAGCCATTTGCATTCATTTCCTCTATAGATAAGGAGGAGAGTGAGGCTTTACAAAGTTCTCCAAAGTTAGCTTCAGCAAAAGGGGAGCCAGGATCAGAACCCAGGAGTAAAAAATTCACTCCAGGCCGGGTGCAGTGGCTTATGCCTGTAATCCCAGCACTTTGGGAGGCTGAAGCGGGTGGATCACCTTAGGTCAGCAGTTTGAGACCAGCCTGGCCAACATAGTGAAACCCCGTCTCTATTAAAAATACAAAAAAAAAAAAAATTAGCCTGTAGTCCTACCTACTCAGGAGTCTGAGGCAGGAGAATCACTTGGGCCCAGGAGGCGGAGGTTGCAGTGAGCCGAGATCATGCCACTGCACTCCAGCCTGGGCGACAGAGTGAGACTCCATCTAAAATAAATAAATAATTCCCTCCAGAGCCCCAAGGGTATGACACTGCCACAAGTACCTGATGATGGCAGCCCCTGACCGGTCCTGTCCCTAGGGACATTGACGGTGGCCGGTTGGTACACCTTCAGCAGGTCTTTCAGCTTCAGGTCCTGGGCCATCAAGGAGTAGTTGTTGGCGATGGAATCACTGGGTCCACGGTGGTGATGCTGCTCTTTGAAGGGTGCAGCCAAGGTCCATGATGTGCGTTGCATCAAGGGCGGGTAAAAGCTGTGTGACATGATCGTCTACGAGGGAAGAAGTGCAGAGTGAGATGCAACGAGGAACATCTCCCCATGAGCCTGGGCTCTGCTCACATTGAGGCTCATGAGAGTTCCAAGTGCCTTATGCTATGTTTCTGCCTTCTGCACATTCAGTGGAAAGACTTTCTGAACAGACACCAACTGTACTTCTCTGACCATTTTGAGCATGAATTCTGATGTCAGGGATAATAGTTTGCATTCACCAGTAACTCTGAGGCAGGTAATTGACATCTCTGGCCTTTATTCCTTATGGACATGACTACAAGGTAGGAACAATTACCTTCATTTTACAATGAAACATGCAGAAGTTCAGAGTTTAAATAACACAGCAGATCAGTGGATGGCCAGATTCTAACTCACCTTTGAACAATGGCATAGCTCTCTCTCCCACACTTCTGCAGCCTCTTCTGGGGGCAAACTCGACCAAAGCTACTAATCCCACTTGTCAGGTCTGTTTAACTCCCCACCCCCAACGAGTACCTGCCAAATACCGAGAGAAGTGGGGAAAGCACTTCACCTTCTCACCCTCAACAGAAGAGCTGGCAGCCAGGTGTGCATACCTGATAGAGCCCAGACGGTTCCTCATTAGCAGAAGCAGGCAGAGGGGGCAGTTCTGGCTGCCCCTGGGAGTGGCTCATGTGATGTATGGAGTCACTTCTGGCGATCTGTGGGACATGGGAACAAAGCCACCCTTCAGAAATTAGGGAAGATTTGCAAGCCTCTGAGTTGGTTAGGACTAAAGAGGTCCCCAGGAAAGGTTTTAAGTCCAGAGCAAAACACCCCTATCACTCCCATCCATTATGTATGTTTCATTTATTTAAAAATTGACAGATAAGGGCCAGGTGCAGTGGCTCACACCAGTAATCCCACCAGTTTGGGAGGCCAGGGAGGGTGGATGACCTGAGATCAGGAGTTCAAGACCAGCCTGACCAATATGGTGAAATCCTATCTCTGCTAAAAAACAAAAATTAGCCAGGCATGGTGGCGTGTGCCTGTAGTCTCAGCTACTTGGGAGGCTGAGACAGGAGAATTGCTTGAACTTGCGAGGCGGAGGTTGCAGTGAGCTAAGATTGCACTCTGAGATGTATTGAAGTGTATATACATTAAACAGTGACTAAATCTAATTAGCATATGCATTACCTTGTATGGTTATTATCTTTGCAGTGAGAATACATCCACTCTCACAGCATTGTTCAAGAATAAAATATATTGGTAATTAGTCACCATGCTGTACAATAGATCTCTTGAAGTTATTCCTTCCATCTAACTGAAATTTTATATCCTGTGACCATCTCCCCAACCCTTCCACTCCTGTTTCTCTTTTTTTTTTTTTTTTTTTTTTTTGAGATGGAGTCTTGCTCTGTCACCCAGGCTGGAGAGCAGTGGCACTATCTCGTCTCAATGCAACCTCCGCCTCCCGGGGTCAAGTGATTCTCCTCCCTCAGCCTCCCAAGTAGCTGGGATTACAGGTGCCTGCCACCACACCCAGCTAATTTTGTATTTTTAGTAGAGATGGGGTTTCACCATGTTGGCCAGGCGGGTCTTGAACTCCTGGCCTCAAGTGATCTGCCCGCCTCGGCCTCCCAAAGTGCTGGGATTACAGGCATGAGCCACCATGCCTGGCTCCTGCCTCATTTTTTAATCATTCAGTGTCTCCTCCTCGGATTCCCTTCTATAAACAAATGTGGATATTTTTCCCCTGTGGAAGAGTCCAAAATCTGAGGACATCCCCAGTACCCTACCCTCAGGTATGATTAAAGGCGGTGACTTTAAAAGAAATGGACTCACATTTTTTTCTTTTTTCTTTCTTTCCTTTTTTTTTGAGACACACTCTGTCACCCAGGCTAGAGTGCAATGGTACAATCTTGGCTCCCTGCAACCTCTGCTTCCTGGATTCAAGCAATCCTCCCGCCTCAGCCTCCCAAGAAGCTGGATGGGTGCCCACTACCATGCCTGGCTAATTTTTATATTTTTAGTAGAGATGGGGTTTCACCATATTGGTCAGGCTGGTCTCGAACTCCTGACCTCAGGTGATCCACCCGCTTCGACCTCCCAAAGTGCTGGGATTACAGGCGTAAGCCACCCCACCAGGTGGACTCTTGCATTTTTACATGTGCAAAACTCCAAAGAGAAATTCACGCAGGCAGTGGCACTGAATTTTCTGTGTATTTAACATACACATAAGCAACTCTTTACGCTTCCTGCAAAAAGGAAAAGTGTTATTTCAACAGTGTGGGTGTTGAGTCCTCCATTCCAACCAGTGAGTGCATACTGTGGAGCAAGCCTCAGGTAAGGGTAAACTTGTGGCTCCCATGGTCACTCTCAGATCCCAAGTGCCCCTCCACCTCTCCTGAGCAGAGATAAAAGTGACTGCATTATTGAATGAGATGACATGTGGTTTTGTATGAAGACTCAGCCCCTATATGCAAAACAACCACTTCACCTGGAGCTACTGATGGAGAAACTGCAATTTGTTCCAACACTGGAAGAAAAACTATTGGCCTGGACTTACTGAGAGGTGCTGCTGTTCAGCACTTTAAAGGTGGTTTGAAGGATTTTCAAGGGCAATTTTGGCTCTCTGTGATTTTCACCTTAGGCAATGACTTTGGACTTAACTCCTAGGTAAGATGAGCCAACATTGTATCAATGTGATTTATTTGGTTGTGCAAATTATGACATGCAAGATCACTGATGAGGGGGGGATGAGGCAGGGGCATATGACTCAGCTATTAGCTGCCCCTCTGCCCCCAACCCCTTACAGATGACTCAAATTAACCATCATTATCTCTCCTCGAGCACCTACCTCATTAAATAACAACAGAAAAACAAGAACTGCAGCAATAATATCTACCATTATTCCAAACTATTATGTGCCAGGTACTGTACAACCTTACGAGATTTTTTTTATACCCACATTCTAGCTGAAGAAAATGAGGCAGAGAAGATCGGTAACACGTCCCAGCCATGTAATTGGCTGGCTTGCCTTCTAAGTCAGTGACTTTTTTATTTTTTTATTTTTTATTTTTTTTTGAGACCAAGTTTTTGCTCTGTCACCCAGGTTGGAGTGCAGTGACACGATCTCGGCACTGCAACTGCAACCTCCACCCCCTAAGTTTGAGCGATTCTCCTGCCTCAGCTTCCTTACTGCATTATGCAAATTGACAGATACGCTGTTCTTGGGATAATGAAGAAAGGAAACTGTGAGCATTTTGCAGAACACAATGGAAAGAAGGAGAACCTCTGTAGAAACAAATTAAAGAGAGCTATGTCATAGGCTCGGACTAAAACAAATACACAAACAGTCATAAGTACGCTGGTAGCAGAAAGCATCCCAATCCGTGGATAAGGAGCACATGGGGCACGCACAGCATCAGCAGATCTAGGCATCAATTGCGGAACAGAGCAAAGAGTTTTCTTGGCTATACCTGGCTCAGAATCCTCTGTGGCACCTTCAAGAGGAGATGGAGATTCTCATAAGAACTAGCTGGTCGAGGCAAAATTGTTTGTTAAAAATATGAATGCTTGGCTAGGTGTGGTAGCTCATGTCTATAATCCCAGCACTTTGGGAGGCCGAGGCGGGCGGATCACTTGAGGCCAGGAGTTGGAGATCAGCCTGGCCAACATGGAGAAACCCCATCTCTACCAAAAATACAAAAATTAGCCAGGCGGTGGTGCACACCTGTAGTGAAGATTGTGCCACTGCACGCTAGCCTGGGTGACAGAGAGAGACTATCTCAAAAAAAAAAAAAAAGAGAGAGAGAAAAGAAATTAATGCTTAAATCTTCTCTTTGGTAAATTTCAAGGAGCTTTTACTTCAGAGCATATTGGCTTAGTTATTATCTACAAATCCACTTTAGTTTTATTAAGTTTCAATTTAAAATGCTCCTCTGGGCACTTCACTGTATGGCAACGTGGTGATTCCACAGAGATACAACAGAGACTCAGGAACCTAGATTGGGTAGAACTGTCACTTTGGGCAGCTTATTGCTGATTACACATGTTGTATGCATGTTCTTCATGAAGGTTTCCAAATGCTTGTCTGAGGACCTGCTATACCAGAATCACTCCAGTCTTAGATAAAAATATAGATTCCAGGGCCCCACTCCAAATCTTCTGGATCAGAATCTAAGAGTGGGGGACCAAGACTCTATGTTTTTAAGACGCTCCCCGGAATATTCGGATGTTCAGCCACAGTCCAAAACTGATGGGTGGAATATATGGTCTAATGGGCTTGGAAGGGAAGGAAAAGGAAGAACGGGTGTCTATTCCTGAATTTTTCACAGCAAAACTTGAAGATTTCCAAAAGTCTAATTCAGCAAAAATGATATTTCAAAGCAGACAACAAAAAATGTGATGAATACACTTGTTCAGTCAAGGGCATCTAACATGCCAATTGGCCTATGATCAAAATATCCCCCTTCCCACATATTCTCAACACATTAAAAACACAGGTAGATCGGCCAGGTGCGGTGGCTCATGCCTGTAATCCCAGCACTTTGGGAGGCTGAGGCAGGCAGATCACCTGAGGTCGGGAGTTTAAGACCAGCCTGACCAACATGGAGAAACTCCATCTCCACTAAAAATACAAAATTAGCCGGGTGTGGTGGCACATGCCTGTAATCCCAGCTACTCGGGAGGCTGAGGCAGGAGAATCACTTGAACCCGGGAGGCGGAGGTTGCAGTGAGCTGAGATCACGCCATTGCACTCCAGCCTGGGCAAGAAAGAGCGAAACTCTGTCTCAAAAAAAAAAAAAAAAAAATTGGGTAAAACAAGAAAAGTCTTAAAATTCACACCTACCTTCTGACATGAGCAATCCATGTCACCCATGGTGTCCACTCTAATTGTAGCTATTTTTTAAAAATGAATGAAGAGCTCTCAGCTTCTCCAGGGATGTGCCTCTCCTATCCAGTTGCTTTGAAATTCACACTTCCTTATAGCATAATGGGGATGACACCAACAATGGAACTTTCCAGATGTTCTGAAAGCTCTGTTCATGAGGCTCCCTCTCTGAGGTCATAGACTTTGGCCCCTTGAGGAGTTCCCTGGTAGAAGAGGAGAGAAAGGGAAGCTAGAGATAAGGGGACAGCACTGTGTTTCTGCTGCGCTTTTAGCTCTGGTTCCTACTTCCCCAGCGGTGGCCACGCTTCCTTTCCCTCAAGTGCTTCTCTCTTGGAAATTTTCCAGAAACACATTGAGTTCACTGCAGAGGAAAGACTGAAGCAGAGTTACATATTAAAACAGAGAAGAGGGAGACTCACCCCTCCAAACAACATCCTGGCAGCCCGAACTGTTCTCCCTCCTCCTGCCTGGACTCTAACGCTGGCAGTGCTTGTATGCAGGCACTGGGCACAGTAACCAAGTCTCGGCGTCTGTTGCTAAGGGAAGGAGGGGCCTCCGCAGTGCCCACATACAAGACTGGGCATGATCTAGCTCTATGAGCTGGTGTCTCCCTTTGCTGGAGGCCCAGCTGGGCAGCAGGAAGTGTTGGTGACAGAAGGGAACATGGGAGGGTGTTTAGCAATGTTCCAGGAATAACAGAGGCAGCAGCAATAAAAGACCTTTGGAGACATCAAAAAGCACAGAGTACGGTGGTTAATTTCTTGGGATCTACAGTTGGACAGGTCAGACTTCAGATCCTACTCTTCTCATTAATTAGCTGTGTGGTCTGGCAAGTTGCTTAATCTCTCCAAGTGTCCTTTCTGTCTGTAAAATGGCAATTATGTGAGTCCCTACTTCATAGGGTTGCTTTGAAGGGTTAACGGGATAACGTGTACAGAGCGATTTGCATATAGTAGAAGGATAACTGATATTTTCCCAGTTTTGCCCCGTTTTAACACTAAGTCCTGCATCCTGCAAGCCATCTCAGTCCTGGGCAAACTGGGATAGTTCGATCACCCGACACAGTGGATGCTCTATAAATGTTGTGGCTAACACCAATATTACGATAGACACAGAAATACATGTGCACATACTCAAAAGTAACAATACTAGCTGCCATCCAAATAGTAAAAGCACATGTTCCATGGTCACTGTGAAGTTCTCTCAAAACCAAGTTAGACTTAATGAGTTTTTTTGGGTGCCATGCTTGCATATCTTGTTTTTTTTTTCATTCAATTTCCCCCCAGACACCATGATATTCCTATTTTAAGGATAAGGAATAAAAACTGAGAGATATGGGCCGGGTGTCGCGGCTCATGCCTGTAGTCCCAGCACTCTGGGAGCCGCGAGAATCTGAGCGGCCAGGTGGATCGAGCTGAGAGAGAGGTCAAGCCTAAGTTCGAGTGATCCAGTGGAACTGACCAACATGGTCAAACCCTGCCGATGCTCCTATTAAAATCTCTCTCAACAACAAGCCTCAGGGTTTTATGGTGCTCGGAATCCCCTGGCCGGCAGATGATTTGGAAGAAACATGGGTGGGTCCAACCGTTTTTCTTTTTTTCGGATACACTTATTTTTACGGCCCACCGCAGGGAAACA